GTTTCATGTGTTCGTGAACAAACGTGGGGGATAATGTCTATAACCTTGCTAACCAAGACCTTGCAAGCTCCAAAATTAGTGCTAGAGAATAGGGAAGCCGAGCTTAAAACATGGAAATTTTGCCGCCTCTCTCATTTCCTCTTGGAAATGTATCTGCTAAGCCTGTCCATAGCTGGTCTTCCTTCATTTCACGGTAGTATTCAACCTCTGCCTGGCAATTACGACTGTCTTGGTTGTTATTCTGTAACCTTGGGATGCTTTCATGACTAGAAATCCCAGCCTCTTCCCAGAAGCACATGGTGTGCCATGGCATAGCTAGAGGAGCCATAGTATAAACTAGCATTGATTGTAAAATCAATGCGTTAATTTGTGTAGTTATACTTAATATTCAGTGGCTGTGTAAGTATAAAATTTTTATTAATAGGTGGCTGATTTGCAGTGATAATATACCTGGAACCTGAATAATATTTTGTAAAACTGGCATCCAGTCACAGCTCTTAGTGCTTTGTTGCTATGGATGTGTTGCACTGTAGCACAGACGTGAATATTTTGCTCTATGATTGGGTCCTGAAAAACAGGGACTGTTTGTGGAAGACATGTATTTAAATAATTTTAATTAATAATTCCCCATCAGAATTGGAAGACACATGGGTGGTGAGATGCTCGCTCTGTTAAGCCATGCATGTGCTTCTCCAAGTCAGGATTTCACTTGAACAGCTGTGTTTTTAACTGCAATGTATCCGTATGTTTTTCCAAAAGGGGAAATCCACGGGGGAAGTCTTTCAGTAATTATGTTGTTATTACCCCATAATCTCTCCCTTTTCTGTTAACATCACTGTTACTGTGTAGTGTCTGGCTCATGGAGAAAGATCGGTGCTTGCTGTGTAATGCGGACAGAAGTTTTTAGAAAGGGAGCAGAGGTTTTTCTATTAAAAAATATCTTGTAAAGAGGGATTGATATTCGTATTAGCTGGAGATAATATTGGAAAAGAGGCTTTATGAAGGCCTTTGTACTAAAATACTGCACACTAGTTCACGAGCAGATGGCAGCCTTCTAAGAGAAAGCCTAATCAGGTTACTCTGTGATTTTTATTTTAGGTTTTTATAACCCAGTATTATCTGTTGTGTAATCTGGTAGACTAATAACCCAACAAATATATAACTTCTGAGAATTATCCACTTTTAGAGTAGATTTTGACATATTCACATGACAAACATTATTAATGGAGATCCACCTACTTAACAGACTGAAGAGTTTGTTTGCAGAATTTTAATAAATGATGCGATTTTCAGAGCAGGAAAAATTTATTTAACTCCAAAAACTTAGCCTTAAATGCTTTCATAATGGTATCTCCTTTGGAAAATTCACTTTACTTCCAAAGGCCTGATTCATGCTCCACTGATGTTAACAGAACAATTTCCAGACACTTTTGATCAAATTTATAGATTATTTGCACCAGATTTTTTTTTACAGTATTTGGACAATTCGAAAGACTGCAATAAGAAATCTCAGAGTGTATCTAAGTGCTGAATTCTGGCTGCAATAAATGGAAGTGACGAAAACCTCATTAGGTGCTTGTTTACATGGATGCTTGGAAGATTATAAAGTGACTCGTGTCCATGCTGAATTCTGGCTGCAATAAATGGAAGTGATGAAAACCTCATTAGGTGCTTGTTTACATGTTTGGATACTCAGAAGATTATAAAATGACTCGTGTCCGTCATTGCTCCTTTTCCCGTCGTGTCAGACCATAGCCTTTGGTTAGGCAGCATGTCGTAAACGTCGCTTGTAGCTTCAAAGACCCGACTCACCTTCACTTTCAGATCAACCCGTTCTAGTCTCTGGCTGCTTTTGTGGTAGGGGTATCACTGGAATACTTGTAGGACATCAGAATAACGAATCCACCGCTATAACTGCCTACTACTCGCAGACGTGTACGTTGCTGTTTGTATATTGGCTGCTGTTCCCTATAGGCTTCCGCTGAGCTCCAGAGAAATTTTTAAAATTCTTCTATTAAAATGTATGATTCAAAATGCTCCTTTCTCTGTGCTTAAGAAATCCCGAAGGATCAGTCTGCTTAGTTTACTTGCTGGTTGCTCCTGTCTTGAAAAACATTAGATTGAGTTAAGTTCGATATTGCTTCAAAAAAACAATATTTATAGTTTTCATGAATTCTGTGCTGGGTATGAATTGCTGACAGATCCACTCCATCTGCTGCAGTCGTCTTCCTCAAATACGCTGGTAAACTGAGCAGCCGGGAATCAGATTTTCCTTGGGACATTAGTGTGGTGCTGTCATAATTTAAAAGTTCTATCAGACAATGAAAACAAGCAATAAACCCAGGAAAACGTGTAAAGCCAATTTCAGGGCGCTGTGCAGCTGTGGTGCAAAACACGGCTGCAGCCCTGCGAAGGGCCGGGGCATGGATCTTCGGATGGCTTCGAAACGTTGGAATTAATGAGTGCTTACAACCTGACTAATTGATTTTCCTGATGCTCCCACTTGATCTAAATAAAACTCCCAGAGTCCACAGCCTGTGAAGGCTCGGGTCTCGTTCCATACCTGTCTTCAGTTAATGAAATTGAAACATTCAATTTTTCACAGAATTATTAAGATATCAATAACTCATTTTGGGGTTTCTAATTTAACGTTAATTTGAAAATGTGATTGATGACCCCAAAGAGTTGTCTTCAGTAGTTTCTTTGTCTTTTAATTCTTTTTTTCTATACAAATTAATATGAAACACTACGTTGAACATGGAATTTATATTGTTTAGCCCTTCTGCATTGATCTTTTGAGGTTCAAATTTGTTTATGTTCATTTAATTGTTTAAATTTACTTCACAAATGTTATTTTACTCACATTCCAATAAATATTTGTAGTATAATTTTTAAAAAAATCTTCATTTTGAACAATTTTCTTCATAAATACATCTTGATTTCCTTTGCTCTTGGTTAGTATATAATGAGTATATTGGTTTAATTGTCAGAATTTCCAGCCAGTGTAATACAGATAGTAGCAGGGTACATCTCACCAGTATTCAAGAATCACCTTTAAAACTTTGGGTACAGTTGCAACAGGCTTCAAAGCAGTCTGAAATACATTTCAGTATTTTCAAACAACCTTTCTAATGCTGCTTTCTTTAGAACTAAAGTAGAAATGAATGTAAATGTCATTTTCGTTTAATATTCAATTATTAACACTTCATTGAATTTTATCTTTATTTGCTTTATCAAATATCATATTAATTGCATTTTCATGTCCCCACTCTGTAAATCTAGCACAGTTTCTTTGATTAATTTTCTAAGTCAATTAAGCTAGTACAGGTACATTGAATAAAGTAAAAAATCATACTGTGATTATTTTTTTAGTACTTTTTATAATAAAAACTGTCAATAAAGATAATGTAAACAGGATTTTTAGCTGATGTGTGATGACTGATTTCAGAGCTGAAAATATAGCCTTACATATTTTTCAGGAGATGTTTATTGCTTGGTATCTACTGATAGCTTTATAGAAGTTCAGTGTTCTTTTGTATCCACATGAGAAAATTGAAGTGATATGAACGAAATATATACAGCTTTTGAACATTGCTGTGTTCTCACTGTAATTTTCTGTGACCCCTTCTACGTATAAAAATTAGTGTGCTACAGTAGGAATGTGTGATTTTCCTCTATTGCTTTAAATGCTTTTTCAAAAGCAAAATAAATGTGAATTATTCACGTTAACCACACCATGCCAAAACAGGAGGAAGAAATGCAGGAGTGTTCGTTATTGATTGATTAGTGTACAAACACTGACTAAGCACTGACTCTGAGGCCTATTGATGCATGAACTTCTTTCATCCAGTATAATAATTTTCTACGTTGTTTCAACCTCATGCTCAAGGATATGACTAATAGCACAGCTGAACTCAATGGGGCTTCTCATCAAGTAATATAAGTGAAGGTAGGAGTAGAAACTCCTATCAAGTCCAAGTCTGAATGCTTTGAGTTGTGCATTCAGATTTCCAAGTTCGTGCCTGTCCCTACTGCAGTAGCACCAGCTCTTTGCTCCACAGGCTTTGTCTGCAACATTAGATGTTCTATCTGATTTTTGAGCTTCCTGCGTCCTTGTCAGCTAAGCCCTTAAATTTTTACATGTTGTCTCTAGATTAAACCTTTATCTTTTATAGTCAAGAAAAGACAATCTAATACACGTAAAATGCAAAGTAACCAACCCTGTTGCAATGCAAACGGGTAATGCTGCCTATATGGAGACGTTTGTTATAGAGTTGTGTTATACGATGATGTTTATTGACTTCTTCAGGCCCACACCAGTGCTAACTACACGGCTGTGCTTTTCTACTTGCTTTACATGAACTGAAAATTCATCCCTCCTTATCTACGCACAGATCATCTGCGTGTATCAATTAGGCTCTAACTCGCCAGTGTTATCTGTGATGTTGCAATAATTAGTGATGCCATAAATACAGAAAGTTTACCTTCTGAGGTTCTGCTGCCTTTGATTTTCCCCCCCTCTCCCCCTCCCACTGAACTAGGTGTTGTTATTCCCTCCATGTCAGTCTTCAATAAGCTACTCTTCACTTCCTGAGAAGGTTTTCAATAAAAGTGACTTTGCAGCATCCTGATGTTTGCCAGGACTGTCATCAACGCGTAACGATGCGCTTTGCAGACTATCGGTCTCTGTTGTCATTTGCTGTTTCTTGTGTAAATTCTTATTGCCATTTAAACCGCTCTAGTTTCATATGTTGTAGTTTTCTGCAAGGCACCATAAACATCTTACATGATCGAAACAGAGAAAAGGCCCAGAAGTGTCAAAGATCTTAAGTATTACTTGTGAATGTGTTTGAAATCAGGCTGGTTTTGATTCCCCACCATTTTGATTTAGATGACTAATGAATATCATACCAGTTTGTCAAGTCTGAAGTGTTGTACTGCTTTTGCCTAGTTGATACTGTTCTTCTGGTTTCAACGTGACCTTTCTCTTTCTGAAATAGAGCCATCACACTGGAGAATCAGCTGGTGATCCTTGCAACATCAGAGACTGATGCAGGAGGCTACTATGTCCAGGCTGTCAATGAAAAGAATGGGGAGAACAAGACAAGCCCGTTTGTTCATCTCAGCATAGCAAGTGAGTATCCAAATTTTGGATAGTATGCTGTTGTACTGAGCTTGCATACAATATTCACAAGGTCTGCCCTAATAAAAAGAGCTTTGCTAACAAAGGATCGGATCTTTAAAGAAGGTCAGCTTTTCCTGCTTGGTTTGGAGCACATTGAACTCCTTGTGCAATAAGAGGGACCTAAGAGAGTATATGCCCTCGACAAACCACCCTCAAACCCTTTTGTCTGGTGGTTTATGTTGTGCAAGGCAGGTACATGGTGATAGCCCTTGCTGTTTGTTGTGAAGTTGTGATCATAATTTCTTTTTAATGCAGGGCTTTATGATGTATTGTTTTCCATTGTGCATAAGTAAACAAGTCACTTTCCTGAGCGCAATTTTATTAATGAGTCTATTCCCAGTCTATGGCATTATTTTTACCTGGAGTTATCACAGAGTCCCAGGGAACATGTGTTTCATTGTTATTATTTTACATTGCACAAATTATATTAACACCTACCATTACAGAGGCATTCCATGAGTGGGTTTTACAGCAAAGAGGAAGGAAAAGCAGTAGAGCAACGGGGTCAGAAAGATGACTGCTTGTTAAATATACTGATGTGCATATTCACAAAAAATATGCATGTATTAACTATTGTAAAACACTTAGTAAATGTGTTTGTGTGAAATTAATATTCTAAACATGTAGAATGGTTTGACTCCTTTTCTAAGGGCATTTGGTAAAGGTGTTTTTAATGTAGCATCAAGATAGGGAGTATGTTAGTCTGGTGTGTGAATGTGGAGGTTTCTATTTTTGATTGTAGAGACAAGGAAGAGATGACTGGGTAAATTGTTGATGACACTTGCATCTTTACTGATACGCTACTTAGTGTATTACACTTAGTAGTCACTAAGGCTACTTTTATGGTTTGAGCTTCTAGAAGATGCAAAACTCTCCGCCTCTAGATCAATTGGCATGGTGAGATGCCTGAGATCTCTTGATCTTGGATACCGTTAGATTTGAGACAATCCCTATGGCTTGTTTCCTTATAATAGTAAAACTTGTGAGTCTGGGTTTCGGGTCAGGAAATCTGGCAAATTGCTTTTGGAAATATGCTTATGTTTGTCAGAAGTTCATTGAAAACATCCTGTTCCTGTGAAACACTCTATTTCTAAGAAAATATAATTTTTCTGCTAAAATACTGCATGAGCTTTCAAGGAAAACTCCTCTTGCCCAAACAATGGAAACCGTGTTAGTGGCATTGGGGTCACTGAGGGCAGAAGTTATATGGTGTAACAGCAAAACAGACAAACCTGTGTTTTCTTCCAAATATGTTTATAATCTAAACGAACTTCTCGAGGGTTTTATGTGTCTATTTCTGAAGTGGAAATAATATTCCAAATCCACTTGTGAATTCTGGCTGTACTGTACCGTGTAGATTGTAAACATTATTATTTCTGACAGTATAAAGAGGTTTGCTAACACTTTAGTAATTTCATTTTTAAAGCAAATTTGTACTGTTTGTATTATGTGACCAGTAATGTAGTTCTCACTTTAATTTCATATCTTAATTAATGCTAGAAATGGTCTGTGATCATGCATGCATAACAAGTGCTATGCAAAGCAGAAGGTAACGCAGGCATATGGAAAAGAGAACACTTCAAAACGCGTTCAGACTTGATACCATGAATGCAAAGTCTATCTGGAATGTGAAAAATAGGAAACATTAAATGGATAAAAGAAAATGAAGAATGAGGCAAGATGGAAAGCCAAAAATGGATTTGCTTATTAAAATGGATATTAGCCAATGAGGTTTTTAAATTGTTGTCATGATATCCAGGATTATTAATACTATATGTGTGTTGAAGAAAGGCACTGGCCGTAAGGCATTACAGTGTCCGTAAAGAAAATGAGGTTAACATGGTTGTTCTGAACTTTGATCTGAAGAAGAAACATATATGATACATTAAATAGAAGTGAATAAACCTTTCTGGTCCGGTAACAGAAAATAATCAGGCAAAAATATAGTTCTGAAACAATATGCAGAGAACGATTGCAGGAAAATGATGTATTTGGAAGAGTAATAAAGAATTCCAGCAAGTGGTTGGAAATAGATTGTCAAAGGTATATCCAGGTATGGAAGATATCACATTGAATTGTCACTCTCTGCATCTTATCAGATGTTAAGAGTGATGATGCTTGTCATTTTCCATTAGGACATGTTTAAAATTTAAAAATAGTTTAGTCAAAATCAAATAAACCACAAGCAGAATATCCTATCTCTATGTGAGTAGATCATATATTAATTATTGAGTCCAACCTTGCTACATGACTCAGCATGCATATTGCTACTTTTATTGAGGGCAAAAGGAAAAAAAACTATAGATAATTCCCAGGGCAGTCATCCACTGAGAACAGTGTTAGATATGCATAGCTTGTTATTCCTTGAAGGATATCGGTGTCAGACTTGCTCCAGCCTGTAGGAAAAGCACATTTGCAGAATCAGTCTAACAGCTGAGAAAGCTGTAAGCTGTCCTGTTCTGGTCTGAAATACAAGACTGACAGCAGGAGAAAGGGATAGCCCTGAGCTAAGCAGAAGATGAGTTATAGGGCCTTATATTGCAGATTAAAATCAATGCCTTGAATTATGGCTGAAAATAAATGGGAGTTTGAGCGACATTTGGAAAATATACTAAAATGTCCTTCAATTAATAACTGTAGTTGATACATGTTGAATAAGAAGGTTTGAGGATATTGAACATGTTACAAAAATACAATCGAAAAGCCCCAGTGATGGTGAATTCTCTAGTAGGGCTCTGAGTATTAAGCATAAAAACATTTTGTTTTTTCTGAGTCTAACCCATAGCTCATTGAGTCTGAAGCATCATGAACTCTTACATCCACCCATCAAACCCTGATTGTAAACACAGTGCATGGAAGCTAGAAAACAGCTTCCAAAGAAAGCCTTCTGGCTTGTCAGTGTTGCTTCTGTGGTGCTTGCGTTTGCTTTCGTCTACCTTCTGAGGCTGGTCAGACATTGAAAACCTAGGCATGGGAATGCCTGGGTTTAATGGAGATCAACAGATCTTTAGGACGTCTTGGTGTTCTCAGATACATACCCACGCGTTGCTGTGATGGTTCCTTCCTTAAATATGCTTTGCAGTGAAGATGTATTAGCCAATAGATGTGATCACTCCATGAGAAGATCCAAATTATCGAGCAGTATCTTTCCTTAACCGCGGAGTCCCTAGCTTGGGTGAACACTGATGTTCTGCGTGCCTGCGCTCTAAAAACCATGTGTCCGAGTTCGAAAGTCTAGGTCACCAAGACAGTTAAGTTCACAGCATAAGGTCCAGTTCAACTATGCTTGAAAATTATGGTTATTTCTTTTAAGTGGACGCATTTTCACTGGTTTCAGGAGGATGAGATCATCCCTGGGGTGACAGGCTCCAGTGAAATAAAAATGATGTCCAACAGGCAGCATGTTGGGAATAACGTCATATCTGAAATGAGTATGAGATGTCATAAATTAGTCTTAAACTTAAAATGCCTTGAAAACTGTTGAACTGTATACTAAGCTACTGAAAATCTTGCCTTTTTTTTAACCATATGTCCCAGCTTTTGTGTTTAAAAAAAAAAAAAAAAGAAAAATTTGGCTAGGAAAGTCTGAAAGTCAAGAGTCTGGCAACAGAAATAGTTACAAAACTCAGTTTGCTTTTTGACTGAAATACATCATTTACTCCCTCCTGAAAATTCACTATTACTGTTTTGGAGCATTTCAATATTAACTCCATTGCTGGAACATCCCAACTTGACCAGAGAGGTGTGAGAGTTAATATATCACTGATTTGTCACAAGCTTCTTAGATATAAATACTATTTTTCAATAAAAACAATTGGGAAATCCTTAATGTGCTTTCCTGTTTCCATCTATTTGACAAGAGATTTGATGATATCATCTTAAACAGATCCTTAAATCTATAGGCTTTTTTTTTTTGTGCCCTTTCTCCCGCAGAGAGACATACAGCAGCACAGATGGTCAGATCTCTTCCTAAAGATTCTGGCTTGTCAGGGGGATAAAACAACATGCTTTTGATCTGACAGTGTTGGCAGGACACTTAAAGATCGAAGTGTTCATTAAAGTAAGACCATCGTAAAACTCTTATTTTCTCAAAGGCTGTATTCTGTGTATCGGCTAAATTTCTCTGAAACTTTGCCTCCAAACCTCTTCGGGTTGTAGTATGGCACTTAAAAAAAAAAAAAAAAAGACTGATACATAGTGCTTTGCTGTAGGCTGTGCCATTCATGCATGAAGATGTTTTTTGGGGGCGAAAGGGGGAGCAGGGATGTTGAGAGTGTCTTAATGAGACCATAAGGATCTCTAGTATCTAAGTCAAGAGATAAAGAAGCATTTTTTTTAGAGGGAAGGGGAAAAAAAAAAGCTTCATAGGGAGCTTTTTATTACTGTAAGGAGCTGGCTGAGGTATCCATTGCCACGTACGCAATGCATGTCCTTGTTGCTTTATTTTATGATGATGTGGCAAGACTCTGGTGCCGCTGTAGAAGTTCAAAAAGCTCTGCTGAGACCGTCTGTTATTAACTTCAATGAAGTGCTGTAGACGTGAGCTGCGTTGGCCAAGTCTTAGAAACTTTTACCAGTATGCGCTGCTATTTCAGACCTTAGTCAAAGTGTTTTATGAGAAATTGGAGAAAGTGTCCCCCCAGTAAATTATTTAAATGGCAAGTTTGCAAAAGGTGGGTGTGTGTAAGCCGTTCTGACAGCTTAGATGCTCCTGCTTCAATTGGTTTTGCAGTGCTAATCATCTGGAACTGCAATTCAGGGCCTTGCTTCTGGACCTCCTTGTTAAGCTGTGAAATATTGAGATGCGTGTCGCCTCAATAGATTTATTAGTAAATTAGATAGTCTCAAGACCTATTCATAACACTAGGAGATACAGAGCCTTCTGCAGACTGACGTCTTTTTCTGATGCAGGCTTTGTAAAAATAGAAAACAAGATTGATGAAAATTTC